AAAAGTTGAAAAAAGAAATAAAGTATCTCAATCAAAAATTCCCGGCAACTGAAGTTCGGTTGTCCTCCATAATCGACCCATAAAATCGGAATCGAATATGCATGCACGTTCTGCTGAACGATAAATATTTTGTAAATGTGTGCTCTGTCCGCTAACGAATTCCAGCCATGTGTGAAATATCGAATATGCATGCACGTTCTGCTGAACGATAAATATTTTGTAAATGTGTGCTCTGTCCGCTAACGAATTCGAGCCATGTGTGAAATATCGTATGTGAAGCCTCCGTCTGACTTAACGATTGTCAAAGGCATGCCAGAAGATGTTTCATCATATGTTTTCGGTCATCGTCTTCTTCGAGTATGTTCATCGATACCAAAAACTTTACAACCTATTTGTGCCAGCAGCCCTTAGTCGTTTTGCCAATGACATGGTACTACTGCACTGTTAATAACCAAATTAAGCCGCAGTTGCATTCACACGTGATATAATAGCTAGTGTCCGCAAGCTGTGGGAATAGCCCAGGAGATGGCGTTTGTTCAGCCATCGAAATCATTACACCGACGGCGGTGGGCAGTTCTGCTGGAACATATTTACCACAGCACTGGTTGCGGCGTTTTGTTCTGCAACAATAGCCTGCAATGATGACATGTCATATAATGTCGACGAACAAAGATATAAAATTGAAAATGACTAACCTTATTCCCGGCCGATTTGGGAGACCACCCTTGATCACGACCTGAACGCATTTACCAAGAGGAAAAACCGCAGGGATTGCAGTAGTTCTTGCAATCACCGTTGATGATGCTGTGCTTGTAATTAATAGTCTGAAAATACAAAAAATTGCATTAATGAAATCTTATACACATCAGATAAATAAATTTCAATAATTTGTTTACCATTTCACAAACCGAATTACCAAGAAATAGAAACTCACCGCGATGCGATACAGAAACAAAAACCAACAGGGCTGCATTTTTTTGGTAAACAACACAAGCGCTCAGAGCAAACTGATCCGCAAAATTATTTTGTGAAAAATAATAGTTGAAAACTCATAAGTGCAAATTATTGTGATTATTTTTAGTTGCATATAATTGTATTACCTTAGACTTTTTTTAAATGTTTTCTAATATTCATTCTTTTGGGACGCAAAAGCAACCATGTGCTCAATTTCTTGTGTGGAAATTTGGTCCCCATAAAGGACTTTCACCACGAAACAGCTACAAAAACAAAAACCTTTTCTACTGGTATACTGTGCTGCTGAGACTTCACTGCGCATTTATTCGAATAATACACACATAAAATTTTTCGGGAGGAATGGTAAATAATTTTTTTTTTGCATAGAAAACATGGATGCGTGATCTGCTATCGCGTTTTGAGTCGCAATGTTATGTCTTGTTTAAAAAGACATTACAAACTGTGTCATAGCCATTTTGAAAAGGTGAAAGAGGGTGATCGAGCACTGAAGATTTTAGAATTAAAAGCAGCGTTCTTTATTAAATTTATGATTGGTGAAAGTAATATACATCAACACCAAAATTATCAATGTCTATCAGAAAATGATTCTCTATCAGAAAATGATAGATCATTTTTAAAAAAAGCATCTTATTCTGTCGCTTTGGCTTTTTATTTAGAATTTCTAGAAAATTGTTAGGTACACTGAGGGAAATAATGCATAGTAAAAATGAATACTTTATATTTGATTATCGTTTAAAAATGTTCGTATTTAAAAATAATATTTTCATACAAAATTTATTACGCACGTATTTGACTGTTCACATCTGAGTATGTATATGTAAGTGTACATACGCAACCCAAGCATGCAGAGAACCGCTCTGTGAGCGGTGACAACACACGCATACATACATAGTACCCTGCAAAAAATTGTGCGACTAATCTCTAAAGAGAGTATTCCGAGATTACTCTCAATCGGGTACAATTGGGCATTAATTAGTCGCAACTTGTCTCATACGGGTACTAATGGAGGTCAATTAGTCTCGACTCATCCCTTATGGGTATAATTGGATATCAATTATTCCCCAACTCATCTCTAACGGGTAATATTAACGATTTAATGATATGTACGCTCTTAGTCAACGAAATTTCATGTGCGGCGTTGGCACACAGAGAGAGTATTCGCCTAACCAAACTGAGCAGCCCGGTTCGAATCTCAGCTGGCGCAAATTTTTATTTTTATTTTTTAAAAGTGACTAGTCGCCTTTTATACCCTTTCGGGTATAAAGGTGAGCAATTAGTCTCTTCATAGAACATGCTCGAACAAAAGCGAACAGTTCATTCCATATAAAGAGATCAAAAGTGGCATTAGTCGCATGTTCCTTTGCGATTGCTCCCGGAGTCATCCCGGATTAGTCCCATTTTTTGCAGGGTTGCGATTGCTCCCGGAGTCATCCCGGATTAGTCCCATTATTTGCAGGGTAATTACATGTTTATCCGTACATATTCAACATTTGAAAGCAAATTTATATGCCAGGGTGTAGCTGAGTGCGCAAAGATGCTTGCCACAAGTTGTTGATATCCGGAGATGGTCGGGTTCGAATTCCACTGCAGGTAACATGCAAATAAATTTTTTTTTTTTCAGTTTTTGTCTTGATTATTCACTTCACGGATGCTTTTTCAGTACGAACGTGGTCATTTTATTATTTATTAATTGAATTGAATATTTACCAATATTCAGTACTTTCGTTGACGTTTATAGTAAGATCAATTACGTTTCTATTTGATTTTAATATTTTTTTCCCTCAGTGTATGTAGTTTTATAGCCCATTAAAATTTAGAAGCTCAAAGTGCAAATTTCAAGCGCTAGGAAATCGCGTTGATTTTTAATGATTGGAAATTTCTTTTATATGGAAGAAAATGCCTAGCACCGTCAGCAAAAAAAGATAAACAGTAAATAAACAAAAATATAAATAGCCAAAACTGATCAAAATGTCACTTAACTTAATCAGCTGACCATAAGTGCATGTAACATATTTTTAAATTTATTTATTTGAATCTACCACATTGTTTTGGAATGTACCACAATTTTTCATGCTTATTTATGACTAAGAAAAATTTTTTGCGTCCGAACACTCTCAACAGCAACTGATCTGATCTGCTTTGCCGAAATACCAGCGAAGCATCAGTCAATCGTCAATTATCGTAAGACGCACGATGATAGTATACATGTGTCGACGTCGCAGCAAGCAGCATTTTGATGCCCAATTACATGTGTTTGGAAAATCAAAAAATTCCCGCCTCTGATTAAGGGTTACAATTAAACACAGAGCATAGTGTATTTAGTAGGGAGTGCCCAGTCTATATAAGAAGATTAAAGTTTGAAAAACAAAAAGTAGGATGTTGGCAATCAAATTCTAGCAAACAGCACCATAGTAATTTGAAATGCGTCTATGTTAATATTAGTAGTATACTAGCTAATATAGCTGAGCTCGAAAGACTTATTGAGGTAGTTGATCCTGACTTAGTCTTATGCTCCGAAACGTGTATAACAGATGAAATTAATGATTCAGAAATAAAGTTTCNAACCCAGTGTGTGGCAATTGCTGCGATGCTAACAAAGATTTAGGGTTACAATTAAACACAGAGCATAGTGTATTTAGTAGGGAGTGCCCAGTCTATATAAGAAGATTAAAGTTTGAAAAACAAAAAGTAGGATGTTGGCAATCAAATTCTAGCAAACAGCACCATAGTAATTTGAAATGCGTCTATGTTAATATTAGTAGTATACTAGCTAATATAGCTGAGCTCGAAAGACTTATTGAGGTAGTTGATCCTGACTTAGTCTTATGCTCCGAAACGTGTATAACAGATGAAATTAATGATTCAGAAATAAAGTTTCCAACGTACCACGTAATAAGGTGTGATTCGCACAGTAGACACACAGGCGGTGTAATTATAATCTTGCGAGACACAGTTGATTTCAAAATAAAAATAAATCGATCCATCAATAAAAATATATGGTGCATAGTCATACAATTAAAAAATTGGGTAAAGAGGTGTGAAATCGGTGTGGTTTATCACTCACCTAGTACAAGTGATGCAGATTTCCTGACCTATATGGAGGCCATCCTGTCTGCAACATGTGATAATATGGTAGATACTATCATAATCGGCGATTTCCATATAAACCTTAACGTAATATCAAGCTATAGTAGGAAACTCAATGAGATCTTCGCTCACCTAGCTATGAAACAACAAATCAATTTTAATACGCGGGTTACCGAGTGAACACAGGATCACTATGGTCTTTGGAATTTGTCCTGTAGTTTATTACTCTTATCACTTACGTTTTCCGCTTTGTATAAAAAAGACAAGGGGAACTTTTCGTTAAAATATAAATATGAAGAGGTTTATTCAAAAAATCGGGGCTGTTCGGACACGTCCGCACGGAGGAAAATCTTAACAATTGTGTCGTTTAAAATCAAAAATTTTGCTGACATTTCTTTGTGTCTCAAGTGTGTGTGTGTGTGTATGACATGTGTAGTGTGTGTACAAAGTAAGTGGATAAGTAAAATGTCAAAGTGTTTTGTTGAATATGTGTAGATGTGGGTGCGTGTTAGGATGTGATGCTGATGGGGACATCTGTGGGTGCCTGTTGGCGATAGTTTCGCAGGCGGAAGTGCCAGCGTTGCCGTCGCGAAAGGACCCATTTAGCCATCCCGGCCCCCCTAGGCGTATACTTAGCCTAGTAACCGCTGTAGTTGCTGCAACGTCTCTACAACGTTGCCAAGCCCGGATGGGCGGCGGTGGTGCGACCTGGACGACTGTTGGCTGCGGTGGGATGATGGGGGGCCCGGGCGGTAGTGTGCCGACGGTGGTCTCCGAGCGTGGACGTTCTGCCGCGCGTTATGATGTCGGCGACGATTACCTGATGCTGGAGCTGGTTGTTGAATTCGCGCTACCCGATGGGAAGTGATGGAACATGGTGTGATGACGTCTTTGACATACGTGACACCGGCTACGTGATGCACATTCCCATGTCCTGTGGGACAACGCGAGGCAGTTCAAACAGTGCCCGGGCTACTTGCTGCCGCTGGGCCGGTTGCAGGCCCCGAAATATTGGACAGGCGCTCATTGCGTGGCGCCGGTGGCATAGCCCACAAAGAAGTACGCCTTGATCCAGTTCATCTGCTAGTAGCAGTTCGGATGCTGCGGGGGCAGCGGATGCTGAGGGTGCGCCTGATGGCGCTGNTTGCTGCCGCTGGGCCGGTTGCAGGCCCCGAAATATTGGACAGGCGCTCATTGCGTGGCGCCGGTGGCATAGCCCACAAAGAAGTACGCCTTGATCCAGTTCATCTGCTAGTAGCAGTTCGGATGCTGCGGGGGCAGCGGATGCTGAGGGTGCGCCTGATGGCGCTGCGGTTGCTAATGCTGCCGCTCGCCGAACGCCTGGACGAGGGGATGGCACTGGAGCTGCTCCGGAGAATGATGTGGCAGATCGTGGTGCCGCAATCGGTGGTGCTGATGCTCGCGGTGCTACTGCTGCGTTGGTCCGGACTGCCGGCGTGGGGTTGGAAGACGGGATAGCCATGTCAACGTCCATTTCTATGAAACGAAAGGGGACTTTAGTGTTTTGCGGGGGAGAAAGCGTGCATGCTAACGCTCAATTATTTACGTTAATTGAGTTGCGTTAAGGATTGCTCGTCTGGCTGGGGTATTGCCAGAAGTGGAGCTCCTCTAAGAAAATGCCCAGGGGTGAGGGCAGTGAAATCGGAGGGATCTTGCGAGAGCGCAGAGAGGGACCGTGAGTTAAGAACGGCTTCTATTCGGGTTAATAATGTAGTAAATTCTTCAAAGTTAAATTTTTCTGTGCCAGCGACTTTTTTTTTAAATGTGTTTTGAAGCTTTTGACAGCCGATTCCCATAGACCACCCATATGTGGGGCACTTGGTGGGATAAATTGCCAATCAATGCCTTGGGGTGCGTATTTTTTAACGATTTCAGCCGAGACTTCCTCTATAAATTTTATAAATTGTTTTTCAGTGGCTCTTTTGGCTCCGACAAAGGTTTTTCCATTGTCGCTCATTATTTTGGGTGGAAATCCTGGCCGTCCGGCGAAGCGAGCAAATGCCGCGAGAAAAGCCGCAGTTGTCAGATCAGAACATAGCTCGAGGTGTACTGCCTTTGTTGTAAAGCATACAAAGACAGCCACATAACCCTTCGTAAAGGTTGAAGTCCTTAACATGGAAGCCTTTATCTGGAAAGGCCCTGCAAAATCAATACCAGTGGTAGTGAAGGACAGACCGAAAGTGCAGCGTTCAGGTGGAAGAGCTGCCACGATCTGCGTGCGCATCTTCTGCTTATGTATAGTGCAGACTTTACACATAAATATGCATTTTATGATCTGTGGCTTTAGTTGTGGAATATAATATTCTTGTCGGACCATTTGTTGCATGAGGCGATGTTCGGCATGTAGCACTAATAAGTGTAGAAATCTGAGGTATAGTGTTGCAAAGGGGGATTTCAATGGTATTATTATGGGGTGGCGTTCGTTATATGTGAGGCTGGAGTTCGCTAGCCGTCCATCAGCACGAAGCAGACCTTTCGTGTCTAAAAATGGATTGAGTACTAAGATTTGACTATTTTGGTCAATTGGTTTTGATTCTCTTAGCATTAACATTTCGCGGCCGAAATAGCGCGTTTGAGAGTGCAACAAGGGAAACCTTTGCTTTTTGTAGGTCTTGATGCGTTATAATGTTATGTGGGGAATTCGGTGTTTTCTTCACCTTATTTTTGAGGCGCTCTACGAATTTGAACATATAGGCGACTACCCTTAGGGCACGGGGGAACGAGGAAAATCGTTCTAGGATGTCAGTGTCATCCACACTGAGAAAAAGGATTAGTTTCGACAACTAAAGATATTTAGTTTCCGAATTTTGACAATATTTGGGAACTGTTACCAAGGATTGGGAACTATTACCATGGGTTGGTAATTATAACTAAATATATTAAAGCTTCTAATATTCATCTAGGTTGTAACAAATCGTTAATTTAGTTGAAGGGTTTGGTTAATACTAATAAATATTTCTTTGAAGCATATTTCTACAAATTCCATTGAACTTGAACGTATGGTTCATAAAAGGATGTTATTAAGCTCTGCTAATGCAGATAAGCTTTCTTTCAACACATGGTTTAGTCATAGTTACCAAATCTTGGTTGAGGCAACCACGATTTGGTTTGAGAGTGGAACATATTCATGCTTGTGAGCCACCCCTAAGTGCAGTATGCAGGGATACCACCCTAGAATGTCAGGGCATCGCTATCCGGTCAGACGATGTCGAGCTCGAAATATTTAACATATACATACCCCCTGTCACCTGCTGCCAGCAGGATATCACCCTGATATAGGTGCGCTCCTCAGAGGTGAAAACCGTATGGTAGTAGGTGACTTTAATGCCACCACGATCTTTGGCACTCAAGCCTGTCAAAC